ATTTCTAATCACCACCGGCGACTTTAATAATGCGAAATTGGGGCAAAAAACACAAGACGACCCAGAAAACGTAGGCAACTTTCTAGCAAAGGAAAACCTGTACTGCCTCAACAACTTCTATCCGAAATCAATATAAAGAAAATGGACCTGGAGAAGCCCAGGAAGAACGAAATAGATTTTCTATTATCGAATAAACAGTATGTAGAGACGTATCGGTACTGAATAAGATACACACTGGTAGCGATCATAGACTCATTCGAGCCCATTTCACCTTTGATTTGCAAAAAGAAAGAAATAAAATCGTGCAAAGACCCTTGTTGGCTACTGCACAGAAACTTGAAACTAACAAAGAGAAATACCAGAAAACATTTAGAAACCAGGCTACGACCCGTTAACCCTTACCAACCTAAGTATAGACCAAATAACCCAAAAAATAGAATCAGGTATTCGTACCAGCGTAAAAAAGCTGGGCTGTAGAAACAAATCCCCCAGCAAACAATTTACTATCAGGCAACACTTTCAATCTTATGAACAACAGAAGAAAGTTGCAAAGACACGCAGAGCAATACAAAGAGTTAAATAAAAATATCAAGAAACACATACGGAAAGACATGAGAACTAAAAACACCAAACTGATACAGAACACTATTGAACAGAATGGCAGTATGAAAGTGCTAAAGACAAAACTATCAAAAGGGGAAACACATGAAAACAACATAAGTATGACAAAGAAAAAGGAAATAGCAAAAACTATCGAAAAATTTTACACCACCCTTTATTCATCAACAATAAAAAGCCCAATAAAAAGAACCCAAAAAATATTAAATGTCGGCTCCGAAGATTTGCCAGATATCACAAACCCAGAAATAAAAAAGGCACCAAAACAAATGAAAAACGGTAAGTGTCCTGGTGAAGATAGGATATCGACTGAAATGCTGAAGTTTGGTGGACCTGTATTGGAAGGATGTATTGTAATTTTTTTTAACAAATGTCTTTACGAGGGCAGAGTACCGGAATGCTGGCTCGAAGCAGAACTTATACTGTTATAAAAAAGGGGACTCAACCAACATAGAGAACTATAGGCCTATTAGTTTACTGTCGCACCTTTACAAGCTCTTCTAAAAAGTTATAACCAACAGGTTAACATCAAAATTCGACTCCTACCAACCTGTAGAACAGGCTGGTTTTCGAAAGGGTTTCTCTACAATTGATCATTTACAGGCGGTAAGAACACTAATTGAAAAATCTGTTGAATATAATGTGCCAATTCATACAGCTTTTATTGACTTTCATAAGGCATTCGACTCGATTGAAATCTGCTATATATTAAAATCCATGGACAACGTAGATATACTACAATAATTGAAAACATCTACAAAAATGCATCCCTTCATGTAAAAATCGACGACGAAACTAAGACCAATACCATTAAACGCGGAGTACGGAGTACGACAGGGAGACACTATTTCGTCGAAGTTATTTACATTAGCTCTTGAGGACGTTTTCAAGAATCTCAGGTGGGAAAACAAGGGAATCAAGATCGATGGAACATATCTAAACAACCTCAGATTTGCGAATAATATTGTGCTAGTATCAGACGATATAAGAGAGATCGAGTCAATGCTTCAAGAGCTAAACCAAGAATCGAAAGGGGTGGGGCTAAAAATGAACATTGCCAAGACAAAAATAATGAGTCCAATAGATTCACGGATCTATATAGATAACTCTGTCATCGCAAATGTAAAAGAATACAATTACCTGGGTCATATTTTATCACTAGGAAAGGAAAACCAATCACTGGGAATATCAAGGCGAATAAAACTCTCATGGGCGGCATTTGGTAAACTTGCATACATACTAAGAAATAGCGATATCCCCATTATTCTAAGACGTAAAGTTTTCAACGCCTGTGTTCTACCTGTTGCAACATACGGAATGGAAGCAGTTACCTTTACTCAAGCAAGTGCCCACAAATTCCGAGTAATGGAGAGGGCAATAGAAAGGTCAATGCTTGGTATCAGTCTGAGGGATAAAAATAAAATAACAAATGAGATTCGGAGAAGAACCAAGGTCAAAGATATAATTGAGAGGATTGCAGAACTGAAATGGCAGTGAGCGGGCCACGTAGCAAGGCTGAAGGATGGGTCATCAAGGATCGTTAAATGGAGACCGAGAGAGACAAAACGCAGTACCTATAGGCAGACCCCCACTACTGTGGGCGGATGACATAAGGAAAATAGCAGGTGGAAATTGGTACCAAAAGGCACAAACCAGGGATCAGTGGAAAGAATTAGGAAAGGCCTTTGTTCAGGAGTGGACGAGAAGTGGCTGAGGAAGAAGAAGAAGAAGAAGAAATTGGAAAAATTTGAACTTATATAAATCAGACAAATCGCATCAACTTTTTTTAGAAAATTACCACTCAATGAATGCTTATCAGGTTCTAAACTTTCCAACTTGTTTTAGAAAGGATCAAAAATCGTTACTTGATCTCATTCTGGTCAATGACAAAAAGCTAGTATTTGATATAAACCATGATGCACCAATAGGCCACAGTGACCACGTTGTGATCACGGCTAAATCACAGCTCAAATACAGAGATAGACCAACCCACAAAGTCACCAAAAAATTTTTTTGGAAAGCAAGCTACGATGAAATTAACTTGTTTTTAAGCCAACAAGACTTTGATACAACACATCCATCAGGAAACAAATATGAGACGTTCACTAATATACTACAGCAGGCTATATCCAAATATGTCCCATTATTATCATCCAAAGTCAATCCAAAAAACCTTGGTTAAACAATTATCTATTCAATGAAATCAACAAAAAAAGGAGACTATGGGATATTTACAGAAATTCTCCAAGTGAACAAAACTAATCCGTGTATAAAATTCAAAACAACCAACTCAAAAACAGAATCCGGGAAGCACGGAGATACTTCGAAAAAAGAATTGCATCATCAAACGACAACCAAAAATTTTTCAACTACCTACGTAAAACGCACTCTTAATACAACAGTCTTCAAAATTACTTTAAAAGATCCGTCCACAGGAACTCCAATTACGGATGATTACGCGATAGCAGAAAAATTTGCACAACAATTCACCTGAGTTTTCTCAAGAGACAATGATCCAGAGCTCCTAGAACTTCCTGAATCAAAAAAATCCAACAACAGATTAACTTCTATCGTTATTACCAATGACAAGGTTTCTGAGGCCATTAACTGCTTAAAGAAAGACGCCGGTCCCGGTCCTAATAACATTCCGGTAGTATTTCTTCTCCATGAATGAGAGAATGGAGAGTGAACGACTACCAGGGCGATAAACAACTACCTTCTAACTATAGACCAATCAGTTTAACTTCCAATATTTGCAAATGTTTTGAGAAGCTCATTACAAAAGAATTAACACCATTCCTCCTTGAAAATGGGGCCATAACAGATCACCAACATGGATTCCTTCCAAAAAAGTCGACCATTACCAACCTCACAACTTGTTTGAACACCTGAACATAAAGCTTTGATAGCAATGAACAAACCGACATCGTCTACTTAAATTTTGAGAAAGCATTTGACAAAGTGCCATTCAATAAAATGCTTCATAAGATAGACCACCATGGTATTGGTGGTAATCTATTTGGTTGTCTTTTCTTCTTTTTGAAAAAAAGAACTTTTCAAACAAGAATAAATGGAGTACTCTCTGACCTACATGTGGCTCTCAGTGGGATAGCTCAAGGTACAGTGCTTGGTCCTCTGCTCTTTTCAGTTTATATCAGCGACTTAGCAATGGGAATAAAAACATGTATAATATTTTTTGCCGATGACGCTAAGCTGTTTGCAAACTCCAGAACTAAGTCTTAAGTGCTGCAAGAAGATCTTCATAGAATAGAGCAATGGGCAATAAACAATACAATTACACCCTATTCACTAAATGGTACCAATCTAAATAACGTCGATCAACAGAGTGATCTAGGCGTCATCATCAGTGCAGACCTCAAATGGGAACCATATATTCATATGTTAGTGAAAAAAGCAAACTCGTTCATTTATTGTATCCAAAAAGCATTTTCAGACCACTCAATGGACACCATATTAAAACTATATAAAACTTATATTAGACCAAAACTTGAATATGGCGAAACAATATGGAACCATTAGTTTGTAAAGGACACCGAGCTTTTAGAAAAAGTTGAAAGACGTGTAACAAGAATACCACCAGAATTATCACAGTTAGACTATACTACAAGACTACAAAGACTAAAATTTACAACTCTACGAGAAAGGCGTTTAAGAGGAGATCTTATTAAGACGTACAAAATTTTAAAACTATATTATAACGCTACTCTCAATATCTTCCATGCGAATGCAAACGTATCTGAGAGCGCTCCAAGTATTAATTCATTCAAAAACAGACTAGATAATCAACGGGAAGCGCTGACTAGTGTGAACATTCATTTCGGACTGTAAATAAACAAGCTGAATATTTTGAAAAGCCAAAAAAGAACCACGGAAATTAAAACAACAGTTTCATCGGTCATTACCGCTTACTGTGGTATAATAATAATAATAATAATAAACTTCCCAAATTCATTAATCTAGGCTTCAGATGTCGTGCTATAGATGTCTGTCCTGGAATGAAAAACGGATGATAAAAGATGGCAGACATTTCAACCGTGAAAGTGGTTTGCAATCCTCTTCAGCAGACTACACCTGGATGGCGTTCGGAAAAGTCGGTTACATCCTTCGTTGTAAACCTCAAAAGGAAAGTCTGCCCAACCTACCGCACTGCACTTCATGCACAAGGAAAAGTTTGCAATTTAATTTTTATGAGTTAATTACTCTTTTGGTGCAATTTGGTATAATTATTTATTTTTGACGCGTATAGGTATGGTAACTGGATATTTATGTTTATTCTTGTTCGAAATGATCAGTTGTTGAAAGCTCTTGGTGAGGGTAAATAGATATTTTCACAACTACTTCACTTATCTTCAAGCTCTTACCTCTTTCTTCTAAGTAGTAAAAATCGTGATAACTATCTTCGGTTTTTGAAGAGTTTTGCAGCACTTGCGTGGACACGGCAAATTCTCTGTTACTCGCCAGTGGACTGAAGTGCATTATCCTAAACCCATTTTTCTGCACTGCCGTCAAACTCATTCCGAAAATACCTTCTTCGCCCCATTGGAAGTTCAAATTGTCAATATTGAAATCACCTGAAAACAAACATGGAGCTTAGATGAATTTTTGCTAAATGTCGCGCTTACCTTTCAACGGGTCAGGCATGAAAAAGCTGTGTTCGAATCTCCAGCTTCTGTTTTCTTTTAGGGAATAAACGATGAGCCCGTAACCCAATTCATCGCTGAAATAGGCATGAGCATCTTCGCAGGTTTTTCCCAAATCGACTGCGATGTTTGCAATGAAAGTTCTGGAGTTGGTGTCTTCTTTTCGGAATTCGTACCTGAGAAAGACAACTGATTTGTAGTTGAGTTGTTAAAAGTAAATAATTTTCGAGTAGAACCTGTAGTTTTTTCAATAAATCTGATAATTTGAAAGTTTTTTACTTCAAATTACGAAGAAATGATGTCAGTTAGTGGAGTTGAATCTGAACACTAAAAACTATAGGTACCACTGGTAATTTCAAAAGAAAAACTCATAATTTGCCCCTGATGATGAAATTTTCTAATCTCGAAACATGTAGGGCTTTTTGAATCTATCAAAGTATTTGTGGGAGAAGACTTTGAGTTTTTCTTTTAAAATTAAATTTCAACTCCTTTGAGATATTATGGACTACTTCTTCAATTTATACTGGTAATATTTACAAGAAGAACCAAACTTTCAAACCTGGGAAACATTCGCCTCAGTGGAAGAAAACTTAACTGGAAACAATAAGAAGTGAATTTCTAGGAATAAGATTCTAAAGTTCTCTGGAACTGACTCGTAAAAAATACAGAAAACAAAGCAATCTCATGGTCAGCAAAACCATTGCTGGTGAAACGTGGGGCTGTAATTCATGCGATAGTTGTATATCATGATAGCAAAACCTAATTATTACTGATCAAGCGGTAGCAGCTTCTACTGTATTCACTGAGCCAAAACCATTCTGCGGTCACAGAAATGCTGACTTCTAAGGAATCCTTGGAAAAAAAGAAAACCGAGTAAGGAACAAACAATGGCTAGAACCTCGGCTAGAACAGTAAGAACTACGACAGTTCAAGGGGAACTTTAAGCAAAAAAGAACGAAACTGCTGGTCAATGTTTGCAAGAAAAGTTTTAAAACTCCAATCAAGCTTCTCTCGGGACACTGCAAACTTAAGGAAAACCTACATAAATTGGGGTGGAAAGAAAGAAATTGGGACATAGTAGTGTCAGAAGTCAGAAGAAGAGGAAAAGAATGTCTAAGACTTAAATCAAATCACGTCCTATTCTACAAAGGTGATGATAGCAGTGATGTAGGAGTTGGCATTCTGATGCACAAACGTATGGTCCCATATCTACAAATACTCAAGAGCAAATCTGACAGGGTAATACATAACATTGAAAATCAACAAGAATACAACAATCAACGCAGCAACAACTGACCATGAGGACGGAGAGTTAGAGAAACTTAATGAAGAGGTAACACAGTGTCTGCATGAGAACAAAAAAAAGTTCACACTAGTTATGAGAGATTTAAATGCAAAAATAGGCCAAGATGACACCGACTCATGTTACATTGCCAAATTCAGGCATGGTACAAGAAATGAAAGAAGTAAGAACTTCTTAGAAAGAGAGCAACTCTGTTTTCAGAAAGAGACCTAACAAAAAATGGACATCATGGCAAACCCGGATAAAAAAAACAAAAAACGAAATAGACTTTATACTGACACTGACACCCCATAAGGACGTAAATCAAATTGATAAAAGAATAACGAAAATACTAGAAGAAACTGCAAAAAATATCATGAAAGGGTAGGCCAGAAAAAATTGGCTAAGAAACAAAACAAATGTTGGAGAAGAGAAGAGAACGCAGAAAAAAAAAAAAACAAAAAAGGTACATCAGAATACAGAGAGACTAACAAAATAGCCAGAAGGATGACAAAACAAGACATTACTACCAAGAAGCACAAGACTAGTCTTGGTCTTGGTAGCAAAACCAAGACCAAGACCGAGACCAAGACCTAATAAATCTTCTCAAGACCAAGACCAAGACCAAGACTCTCTCTCGAGACTCTCGTCTTGGTCTTGGTCTTGGTCTTGAAAAGAAAGGTAAGGTAGGTTTATTCTTATGGTTCGGATAGAAATTTATTTTCTTCCTCGGTACAGAATGGCAATTTTATGATGCTGTGTCAACTTTCCTGTTCCATTAATAAAAATTCTAATTCAAGAATTGATGTTTGTTTGTTCTTTTTTGTTGTGGAATGCTTTATGCGGTATTTTTTGACGTGAAACGCTCTTGCTGGTAAAAATAGCCTGTGAAGAAGACCAAATGCATGGTCGAAAAGTCGGCATAATTTTTTCAGAAAGGGAGTTTCATTTTCTATTTCTAAAGTTTTAAACCCATTATCGCTGCTCTGTCGTTATCTATATATATAAAAATGAATGCCACTTTTCGTTGTAATTTTATAACTCAAGAACGGACTCACCTAGCCAAACCAAATGTTTAGGCTTTGTTCGGACTATTTATTAGATGGTTTATGTGAAGTTTGCACAAAATCGGTCGAGCGGTTCTTCATTTATCACATTTTTTGTAATAAATTAATTATTCAATAAATGGAGCATCATTTTGCTGTCAAATTCAAACTTTTTTCAGCGTTGACAGTACCAGCATGTTGTTATGTCATTAATGTGGTCATTTCATTACTTATTTTATTTATTTATGAAAAAAATTTACTAAGCCCGCATAAGGCGGCATGTCTTATAACCGCGATACCAAGTTTATTTTGTATTTTGAATACCGCGCCATCTCTGATACCTGGAACGAAGCTCGGCATTGCAGATACAGTAGAACAATGCTGCACAGAACTATTCCACTATTCCGATCAGATAGAGTGGTGCAGAAAGAGTAGGTCAGATAGAGTAGTGCAGATAGAGTAGAACAGATGGAGTAGTGCAGTGCATGCAGTGCAGATAGAGTGAAATAGGACTGCGCTAGAGATTTTTTTTGTTTTCTTTACATTCTTTGAACATTCCTGTGCCTGAGTTTATTTATTTGGTGGTACACTTTACAAGAATAATGCCCACAAGCTGCCTAAAAAAGGATGATGTAAAATTTTAATTTTAGGTGCCTTCTGATCCAGAGAGTAAACATTAATTTTCTTCAATCAAAGCCAAATTCACCATCGAAAAAAACTGAATTTAATTCAGCTAATAGATACGTTAACACAACATTTAATAGGTATATTTAATAATTCAGAGGCGGTACGAAGTTCGCCGGGTCAGCTAGTATGTTATATATTATATTTTAAAAATTTGGTATAATTTTTTTTTCAAGATTATCAATACCAAGACCAAGACTATCAAGACCAAGACCAAGACTGAACCAGTCTTGTCTTGGTCTTGAAACATCAAGACCAAGACCGCATATATTTTTCGAGACCATGACCAAGACTGGTGAGTCTTGGTCTTGGTCTTGGTCTTGGTCTTGCGAAGCCCTACACAAATCGAAAAACTGATAGAACAGAAAGGTTTAAACGTTTTCAAAAGGGAGAAGGCCCATAAAAGAGAAATTATGAAGCTGATGGACAAACAAGGAAACATTACCTTGTTTGTCCATCAGGTTTATAATTTCAGAGATAGAATACTGCGTGTGGAGGAAAATTTCTGTAGGAAACTATATGACGTAAAAAGCAACAACGCAAATAATAAACCAGAAACCGAAAGCGAAACATCAAAAATTCTAAATATTGTGTAAGAAGAGGAAGAAATTGCAAAAGCGCTAAGCCAATGGACGCATACTACCAGAAATGCTGAAAGAGGCAGGAGAATACCTTGTAAAGCAACTAAAAACACTTTTCAATAAATATCTAACAGAGGGGAAAATACCATACGGCTGGGAGACTGCCATCGTCCTTCTGATATACAAAAAAGGTCGCACAGACTATAAATATCTGGCCAAATCTGATAAAGACTATATCCAGAGGATAGAGAACGTCTAGGAAGAAGAAGAAGAAGAAGAAGGAAAGAAAGCGGTGGCTGTAGATTCTCTGAAGATGAAGAGGTGATACCTCACTACTTTCCACTGAACTGCGATGTTGTTAGTCATTTAAGGAAGAAGAATCTGGGAAAACCTTTCATACGGTTAGAAGACATTCATTCATCTCTGGAACCACTAGATATCCTAAGATTCCTAAAGGTCTTTGAGCAGGAAACCTGAATTTAGCAACAGAAGGATGCGTACACATACAATACGACCAGTTAAGTAAGATTCTGAGATAACTTTACACATGATCAAATCGATTACAAACACAACAGGATCTTTAAAATATCTCAAATAAGCTGGTTTGTTTATCGGTTCGACTGGTTCGATATTATTTGCGAAATTTTTGTGCAAATTTGTTTAATGGATGTTTGGTTTCAACTGTTTCAAGGCAAGACGAATATTAAAATCGAATGTTTGCTCATCCATAGTTAAATTGTTTGTAAATGGATTTTCTAAATTTAATTATTGGTTACTGATTCTATTGGTGTTTCTTCATGGCGGAAATAATATGTTTAATTTTTTTTTGTCTTCAAATTTTTATAACAAGACTCAATTATTCTTGTGTCTATTTGTGGTAAAATTTAACCATTATTAATTGAAACTTCATAAAAAAGGCGGCTCAGTTGACCTCTTTGAAGTCACGTGGGAATCCATAGGCGTCTAAATATTATTATCATGACAAATGAAAACAAATTGGTTAATAAAGAATAAACATACTCCAGATATTTCTATAAAAATTGAAATGACGAACGCCATTACCCCGAAATTCTAGCTGATTTACTTCTAGAATACAGTGGAGTTAATACATTAAATAAATGGTCAAAATTCATATAGTAGGTAATCCTTAAAATTCCGTTTTAAACTATTGAAATAAATCAAATATAAATATTTGAATGGGAATATTATTCCTTTATTAAAAATTCAAATTGGAAATTGATTTTTATTCAATTATCTGTGTAATTTTATACTTTTGTCTACTTCTAAAGAGAATATCTCACACTGTCAACAAGAGCGGCTCACCTTTGTCGGCAAGCCATAAAGCCCAGCGGTATCGCCGACAATTTTCAAGTTTTTTTGCCGGCGTGCGGTGTCTTTGTTATAGTGTACCAGGACTAGGAATAAAAATATAAACATTATTTTATATTATTATAAGGGGTATTTTTCTAATTTTGAGTAGTCACCATAGAGATGCGATTTTCAATTGATAATGGTAATACCATACATAATAGGGAGCTCATTCTGATAGGCCCAGTATCCACCATTTATTATTATTATCTAAGCTTTCCATAATCATTTTACATGAATAGTCACAGAATGGCTGAATTTGCTCTTAAAAACGCAGGTATATGTATAGAGTGAGGAAATGTATGTTATACATAAATTGAAAACTACACGTTTCAGTAAAAAATAGGTAAGTTTTGAACATTTTCAAAGGCTTCAGGGGCTGTGGATCCGCTCAAAACTTTAGACGGCTTCACGCACTATAAATTCCACGGAACAATAGCTTGCGTGTTAAAAATGTTCAATAAAAACTAGAGAGGAAGCAAGATTTATTCATTAAAAAATCACACCCATGAAGCAAATAATTGTTTCATTTTAATTGTCTTAAGGCTATTAATTTTCTGATTAATAACATTTACCTGTGAATTCTAGTGTCAGTTCTCAAATCGAAGATATTGATTGCGTAAGGACACGGGTTTTGAGTGGTTGTATCTATACCAAAAGTTCCGGTATCCAAAACCCATAATCTGTCGCACTAAAAATAATGAAACAAAATTAGAAAAACAGTGCATTTAGGTTCGACCAAAGTTAAAATGCTCTGTTTCAGAAATCTTACTTGCTGTATATACAAAACGAAAAAGACTAATCGCGTGATAGATGAAGAAATTTATAAATTAAAACTAGTTTACATAAGCAAAGTTATAACACATTGGATTATCGAATACATATTACTGATACAGTCTGAATTTCGTAAATGTGAACGAAATATTTCCCTAACACTCCTACTCTTTATTTACGAATATATAAAATAGGATCTATAGAGATTTTCTATATGTTGTCAACACATTTCGTTGTGAATTAACCCTTGGTAAGGAAATTAGCAAAAACTGAATATAGCACTTTATCCCAACTCTCGAACTTTTAATTCATTGAAATTTGAAGCATGTATCAAACCTAAATTACTAACCTATCGATTATTAAGACTTCTTGAGCTCTCTTTCTCTTACATTCTACATTACAATTAACTTACTTGATCCACATGAATTCTGTAAACAGTACTTAATCCTCTTTCGCAGTTTCCCAGTTCATTAGCTTCTAAGCTTGGATACGGTATTAGGGCGGGACTTTTTGTAGCAGAAACTATAGGAACGTAATTAAGCGTCGATGGAATGCCTAAAATTTATACATAATAATTAATATTGTTACCAATATTGCAATATAGTTGCCATTTAGACAGGTATCAACAACACATAACAGGCTGGTATGCAATTAAATACTAAACTTGGTATATTACGTTGAAATCGCAAAAAAGGACAGTTAAAATGTAATTATAATGGCTCGTATTCAATAGCATTTAAAAACTAATAGGTTTTTTGTTTTTGTAAAAAAAAAAATTATTATTTACTTGTTTGAGGAAGTCATAATCATTACCTTCTTTCCACCTGGGAGTAGTAATAAACATTTTTTCATTCCAAATTTCAATTCCAACAGGCAAAGCATTTTCAGGTTTCAGTCTTCCCGTAGCCATATCATTCAATTTCTTGTTTAAATCCGGATATTCAAAGTCCATGATGTTCCATTCGAAATGTTTTTGAAGTTTTCCCGTATTTATCGCTTGGCATAATTGCGTCCAGGCAATTATCAGGAAAAAATTGACTATCATATCTTCTTCCTGGTTCAAAAAAAAAAGACCTGTATGTCAGCTGCAAAGTCAATAAACATAAATAATGGTAAATGGTGATGATAAGGCTTTACAAGGAACTATATTATTCGCAAATGGAGTGGTCAGTTTGAGATAGGAATGCATTTAAATTCCGAGTGGCATCAAATAATACTTATATAGACTAAACGTATTTGGATGTGCATACCTACTGATTAATTACACGTAAACAGTTAGAGAGTATTTAATTTATCTGTAGTAATTTCCTTTCTATTCTAGTTGTGTTTTTGATGATTCGGAGAATTTTGAAATTTGATTCATTCCAGTGTCAAAGCCAACTCTCTCAGGAATAAAAAGTACCTAGTCGTTTATGGTAGGGCACTGCTTGGCTTTTTTGCACGCTGATTTTCATTAAAAACTATTGGGGGGCTTCGATTTTACAACTACCACCTTGCTGAATGCAGTTATGGGACGAATGTTTTGAAGGAACTTCTTGCTATTTCCAGGTTTATTGAACATGATCACCTACTGTTTTTTTATTGTTTCAGACAACTTTTTTCCTGGGGACGACCAATTGTGTTTTGACGATTTCACCATCTGCACTCTCCCAGGTTCGTTTCAGTAAACCATTTCGACTAGCAGGGAGTCCCATTGAGCCGTTTCTAAGCTGTTCGCAACCTCATTCTTGATCCGTTTCAAATTGGAGGCTTCTAATAGAAACTCCTTCACGCTGGTCAGTTCTGAGGCAGTGCTTGCATTGAGTTGGGCGTGGGCGCCTGGATAAGAGATTATTATGCAGTTTACCAGAACGATGTTTGATCTGAAAATTTTACTGCTGTAACTTCTCCAACCATGTTCAGAAGCCATTTGAGCGGTGCATGGTCTGTTCTCTTGAGAAATTCTTGTCTATTATATAGGTAAATGTGGAAATGGTCAATTGCTCTGACTATTGCCAACAGTTTCTTTCGTGTAACGCAGTAATTGCTCTTGTGCATGGTAGGCAGTAATATCCAATGACCCTTTCTTCTCCATTTTGTATTTGCGACAGTGTCCAAAATAAAATTTCCTACAAATCGTCTGTAGTATGTTCAAAGCCCCAAAAAACTTCTGAGTCCATATTTGTCCCATTCACGAGTAGTTTCGATTTTTATCTCGTCAGTATGAATTCCTTCAAGTGAAACAACGTGGCTACACAAATCAACGCACTGCTGAAAGCGTTTTTCATTTGGCATTAAATCGGAGGTTTGCCTTACGGATACGAGTAAATACTTCCTGTAAGTTTCATAGGTGCTCATCGAAAGTTTTTCCCATCACTAACATATCATCCAGGTAGACAAGGCATACTTTCCACGTAAATCCTCGAAGTACGATTTCCATCAACTTCTGAAAAGTCGCAGAGGCGTTACAGAGTCCAAAATGCATTACCTTGAATTGGTAAAGATCACTTCTAGGGACTGTTGAAAGAGTGAACATTTCTTGGCACTTAATCGGAGTTTGCCTTATGGATACGAATAAATAGTACCTGTAAGTTTCGTAGGTGCTCATCGAAAGTTTTTTCCATCACTAACATATCATCCAGGTAGACAAGGCATACTTTTCACCTAAGTCCCCAAAGTATGATTTCCATAAACTTTTGAAAAGTAGCGGGGGCGTTACAGAGTCCAAAAGGCCTTACCTTGAATTGGTAAAGATCACTTCCAGTTGTCTTCTCTTTGTCTTTTTCGTCAATTCCCACCTGCCAGTACCCGCTTTTTGAATCCGCAAAGTAGAAAATCAATTTAAGTCTGCCAATGTCGTAAGGGGTGAATTCTGGGTAATGGGTAGCTGTGTTTCTTAGTGACATCGTTAGGTTTTCTGTAATCGACGCAAATTCTGATTTTTCTTTGTTACCAATACAATTGGCGGTGTCCATGAACTTGTAGACTCTTCAACAACAATGACTCCAATTCTTATTCTTTGGTCATTGGAAGTCTTCTAGTTCGTTGACGGATCGGATGAGTACCGCCAGTATGTCATGCTTGATTACCAGTTTCGCAATTTTTACCCTCTAATATACAACATGTCCAAGAGAAGGAGGGCCAGTATGGAGATATCGTAAACAATGGAAGATACGATGTTGCTCCAATTAGGAAAAAGTTGCGCAATTTTGTGCTCATTGAAATACCGCAATGATACTTAAAATATTCCGAGTGATACTGGAGATATCCAGAAAAACCCGAAATTCGCCGAAAACGATTTTATTTTTTCCTGACTCTATTTGAAGAGATATTGCAAAATAAATGGCACTTCGTCATTGCCACTTTTCCTTCTCTACAATATGACATTATCAAATTTGTAATCCGACGTTTCGTCTTTAGGCCACCATATCATCAGATCCCCATAATGGCCCTCCTTATCTTGGACACATTGTATATCCTTGGTCTCACAAAGGAACTGTCGAGCCTCCTTTAGTTCTGTAGAGGAAAAATGTTGCCGAATTGTATTAGAATATCGCTGGATGATTTATTTCCGTTTTTTCTTATATATTCCCTTTGGCAGGCTCTTAAGTGTCTATAACATCGGCCTTGTTGATTTGAATAGTGTACTGGTAGAGGTTGACTATTCGGACTGGTATAATTCATTGGAAGTTAACCAAAGTTTCTCTAACGAGGTATTTATTGTAAGTTTAGTGTGGTTGTACAAGTCCAACGCAGCTCCCAGAATCATTCTCCAACTGTCCACATATAATTTGTTCGGTGTTGCCTTTTATTATCTCAGTTCGTGTAGCTTTATGGACAACTCAGACAATACAAACTTTTCAGAGCCAAATTTCAGGATGTTGAGCTGGCTGTCGAATGCGAAACCATGGTGACTGATTAACTCCAAACCCAAAATAATCTCAACCAATATATCAGAAATTAGCACGGTGTGACAGATCCTGATATTTCCTAATCTCAAGTCGATTTCTGTTTCTTCTGTCACTATGCGCAGAATAACTCCCCTTGAAAGTGGCTCTGCATTGAAATTTTTGGCAATGTTGGAATTTAGTAGAGATACATTGTCACGGATTTCGGGTTCACTAAGCTAAGGGGAAAGCCGTAAATGCCCAAAATGAATAACTCCCTGTGGAAAAAGTAGTTGTAGATACAAACGAAATTACGATAATTATCGAAACCTTCTACAGACAACTATACATTCAGTCACGTCAATTCCAACTCCAGATCTGGGAAAAGCGATTCTAAACGTGGCGTCAGAAGTTATCCCGGAAAGCGTTATAATATCAGAACTAAGAAATAAATGCTGCACGATTGACCATATTCAAGGAATTTGCATACTTATGGAAAAATATAAAGGGTTCTTGAACAACCAAAATGCTTTCAACACAGTTGAAATTCAGGTGATGCTTGATTTGGTGGAGAAAGCCCGCGATATCCAAAGTTGATCAGGTATATCTACAAGGACTCTACTCTACGTACTAAAACTAAAGTCAATGAGGAGTGGGTTACAGGCAGAATGCCGATTTACAGAGGTGTTGGTCAGAAGTTATTCAGCATGACAGTGACGGAAACTAAGTTGGAAACATTGAGATGGAAGCCGTCTTGAACATCTCCGATAACGGCAAAATATAACAAGAATAGATTTATATTTGAACCTAAAAACAATGAAGATCATGAGTCCTGATATCATACGCGTTACCCATCGATAATCGTTAAAGCAAGTACGATGTTGTATATTTAAGACTACATTGAACTTGAAAGTAAAAGTCAGATATCAGAGATCAACAGACGCATTGAATGACTCAGTCATACTAGAAGAGAAAATGAAAACCAACTAAATTCCGATACACAAAGGTGACACAATTTCCCCAAAGCTATTCAGCTTAGAGGATGTTTTCGAAAGCCTGAACTGGTGAGTAAAGGAATTGTTATAGATGAAATAAAACTGACCCATCTACGATTCGCAGACGACATCATTCTCATCAGTAATACTACTGAAGAACTGGAGATGATGCTGGAAGAACTCCATAGAGCGTCCCTACAAATAGGAATAACGATGAACTTAAATAAAAATCTGATTATGAGCACTTTATTAACAGAAATAAACATAAAACCATACCCTAACTAACCACATATATCTCGGACATAAAATACAATTAGGTGAAAAAAATCAGACGGACAAAATCTCTCGAAGGAAGGGAATCTGTTGGGCGGCTTCTGGTAAGCCCAAGTTTATCCTCGGATCGAACGATATACCAATAAATCTCAAACCAAAATTATATTATTCATGTGCATTCTACCACATTTGTTACTTATGGCTTGGAAATAATGTCCCAAACCCGAAGATCTATACACACACCCTGCCGGTGATGGAAAGGATGATGCTAGGGATTAGTTTCGGAGATGGCCAAATGACGAAATGAGGAGAGCAAGAGGGGCGGATGTAGTGCTAAGAACAACACGGGCTGGCTGGCGATGGGTTGGTTATATAACACGCCGACAACAAGGCGGAAGATTGATAGTATGGCGCCCCAGAGAAACAAAGAGTACCTATTGGAAGACCCCAGAAAAGATGGCGAGACGATATCCAGAAAATCGCAGGAATGAACTGGATACAAAAAGCTCAGGACAGTAATCTGCGGAAAAATATGGAATTGGTCCTATTCCTTGAGATTCAGAAAAGGCTTGATCTCACTATCTGTTCGGAACCCCATTCTTGATCTGTTTCAAATCGGAGGCTTTTAATAGGAATTCCTTCACGCTGGCCGAATCTGAGGCAGTGCTTGCATTGAGTTGGGCATGGTCGCCTGGATAAGGCATCTTCTTTATTATGCAGTTTACCAAAACGATGTTTGATCTGAAAATTGTATTGCTGTAACTTCTCGAACCATGTTCAGAAGCCATTTGAGCAGTGCAAACCAGTACAGGTAGGTACTTGTGGAAATGGTCAACTGCTTTGATAATTGCCAACAATTCTTTTCTTGTAACGCAGAAATTTCTCTCGGGCTTGGTTAGAAGTAGTATTCAATGAC